CAAGCAAATTGACGCAATCGCCAAGAGAGCACTTCCTGTGTGCAACAAAGAGAGACTACAAAAGCTGACCTCACCTTAAGTGGTCTAGCGATTTGCTTACACCTGTGCGGCAACATATATTGGTCGAACGGCTCGTCAATTAGCACGGCCTATTAAGGAACATAGCCCTAAATGGTTGGTGAACGTGCGAACCGGAGTTCTCACAAGTAGTATTTTATCACATCTTTTCGAATCAGATCACCGAATTAACCTCCTAATACTTTATTGTGATTTATCAGATTGCAATGAGCAGATCGTACGGTTTGCGGTTAAGAATGCTCGTTGCGGCATAGTCCAACCCTCACTGTGCTCTCATAAATGTATGTTCAGTCTGTATCTGCCCTGACCGAACAGCTATAAGCCTACCGTTACCATATCATCGGCTCAGCTATTGTGATTAAGTAACCGTGATGCTATCTGTGCGAATGAGACAGCGGAGAACTGAATACTGATTAACTGTTGAACTATTTCGGAACAACCCTCCGAATCAAACATTATCCACCCTTTGTTACTTAACCTTGTAGGATTTGTACCGGTCTTTAGATGCTGCGTTGCAAACAATTGTCTGCCTCTGTCTGGTGTGCTTCATTAACTACTGAGAATGTTCCATATGTTAAACTATTTTGTTGACTAAAAATCAGTACTCACAAACACCGGTTACTTATCTGTCTCCAGTGAGAGATAACTAAATGCTTAGGTTGACAAGTTTGATGGATTAATTTCCTTCGACATACTCGTGACGGTGGTTAGGCATGGATGCTGTGGTGTGATGCTGCCCCAGCTCCATTAGTGCACCGTGCCTCCCTACTGGAAGACCACTGTCCGATTAATTATCTAATAATTCAAGGTATTCGTCCCAGTAGCTCACAAGCTACCTAACATAGCCTAGTCCGAAAAATTGCCAGACAAATTTCGCTCCATTGTGGCTCGACAGTAGTGTGCACGCTCTTGGTCCCCTAATTGTGATCGAACACATGATCACTCTGATGCAGATGTCAACTAACCAGCAGCTTAAGCCGATGAGCCATGGAGATAGTTGCTTGGGCTACATAATTTGCTATCTAACTGGGATATAGCAAGTGTACTATGATATGTAGACTCTCCTAGTGTCGATTGCTATACATATAGCGTCTAACGAGAGGACGTCAAGACCATCAGGTTACCCACTGTCATCTGCTAAGGAACTAACCTGCATAGAAATAGGCGATGGACAGTTCTATATCTCAGTTAGCTTGTAAATTATATAGCCCGGCCGACGTCCCCGATAGCTCAGTCGCTTAAGCTGCTATCTAGTTGGCATCTGCCTATCAGCGGTAAAGGGTTCGATCCCCAGTAGGCGACCAAGAAAATGCGCACCACTGATGAGCCTCAATAGAGCGAAACGGGTCTGACGCTATGTAGCTTGTAAGCTGCTGGGACGGCTTCAGTCAATTACAAGTAACATCCTGCTACTCACAATTAATATAATTACCTACTAGGTGAATGGTAGGTAAATTAAAGTATGTATGAGAAGCTCAGCTTAGATATCCTAAATTGGGTAGCCCTATAAACTTGCCTAGTTGAAAGGAGGTATTCAACATCTTCATAATTATACACATTAGCGAGCGGTGTAAAAGCACCTCAGCTACTGTGTCGCAATACACGAAAGAAAAACAGAAAAATGTAACCGCTGTATACCAACTGAGCTACCAGTAACGGATGGACATCGTTCCGGAAAGCTACCAGTCGGGTACTAGGCATCAAGAAGATTATTATATAATCTTATGCTACGAAATGAGATCGTGGTTGGAGCGGGAGGTTAAGAGGAATGGGGTGCGACAAAGAAACTCACAGCACGAGCGCCACTGAGGTCGGCTCCTAGCCTTGTCAACAAGTGTATCCAGCCAAACGTGTTCATCGTCTTTCGGACCTCAACCAGGGAGCCCAGAGGCTTCAACCGAGGCCAGCTTTGAAGTGAGAACTTTCATTCCTGTTTGCTAAGTCATGGTTTGTTCACTTCTCCTCCTCTTCCATCCACACCATCGGTGGGCAAACCGCACGTCGCGGAAGCCGGTGGGCTGGCCTGCGCAACATGTGACCCAGCCATCGACGCCTGGTGCGTGCAGTGAGGGTACTGAGTGCTTCAGCTTTTCTCCTGTGCCGTAAACAGCAAGCCGAACATGTTCGTCTCTCACGTGGTGTTGTCACCAGAGGTGAGCCAAACCGCGAAGGCACCGGTGCTTGAACCTAACTAGCCAATTATGTCGGCTGATCTAAGGGGCAAAGTTTCACCACCGTACAGTAGGGTCGAACGTACCGCTGCATTGTAAACTGTACCCTTCAGGGCGACAGTGATGTGGCGCCGGCGCCATAGGTGGCAAAAGTTAGCAAAGCGCTTCGATCTATTGCTATACGGTCCATGATCTCCTCTTCGATCCTAAGGGCATTAGTACAAGTGCCCAGGTCGTAAAATTTCTAAACGACTTCTAGCTTCTCGCCACCAAGGGTCAGCGCTGGAGACGACCCCTGCCAACCTTGGAGGAAAGCTTTGCGCACCGATGGTGCAAAGCAAAGCCCAAAGCGGTTGACAGCCAGTGCTAAGCTGTCGAAAGCTGCTTGGCACGTTTGAAAGCTGTAACTGATGGAGTCGCTAGGGTCTGCATACTACAATTCAAGAAGTAGTTCTCCTGGGTGTAGCACCACAACTTTCAAATCGTGTCCTGTGAACGCAATCTTGATGACTTCTGCAATAGCGGACATAAATAAGCAAGTTGACAGGAGCGACATTGTCTCACACCTCTGGAGATATTGAAGGGCGGCGACAGTTTGCCCTAAACCCTCACTGTCCGAACTATGCGCGTAGAGCGCTCTGCTAATGTTTACGCATTTATCAGGCATACCTTTTTCTCAGCAGACAGTTCCAAAGGGCACATCTTTTAACCGAATCGAAGGCAGCTTTGATGTCAAGGAGCACGACAGCGGTGGACCGCCAATATGTGTGACGGCGCCCTGACATCTGACGCAAAGTGAACATATGGTCGATGCAACCAGGACCCCGAAGAAACCCGGCTTGCTCCTTACGAATCTCGCTTTCACAAGCGCCAGTCAGTCTTTGAAGGATTACAGAGGCAAGTAATTTGGAGACGCTGGGGATCAGCGTGATTCCTCTTTGGTTGCTGCATTCCCAGCGCCAGCCTCCTTTGAAAATGGGAACAATAACGGAGTCGCTCTAGTCGGTAGGGACAGTTTCCTACTGCCTTATTTTCTCTAGTGATTGGTGTAGATTATCAACAAGACAGGGCCCATGAATTTGAAGAGCATTGGATGTAGATTATCCGGTCCCGCGGCTTTGTTTAACTTCCACATTCCGAACTCCAGTTCTACTACTGAGCGAGAGGGTGGCTCCAAACGGATAGTCCACCGACCGGGGTGATCAGTGGTCGGTGAGGAATCTAACAATTTCGGCCTATTAAAGTGCCTTTTTAAATGCTCAGCCCAACACTTCAGACGTTATGACAACTTATGAATAGGCCGTCCATCTCTTTATAACATGTTTTACTAACACTGTGTCTCCTGCTGCCCGTTTCTCGTATCAGACGAAATAACTTACGATGGTCGCCAAGGGCAACGGCCGTTTCCAACTCTGACGCACCATGAGATCACTAGGATTCGTGGTCTCCTTTCAGGCTAGCACGGAGTTTTGGCCGGAGTTTGCTGCAAGTCTCATTGTGTTTGCTTCCAGCCTAAATGTGCCGGCGATCATCAATAAGTTCCAGAGACCGTGAAGAGACCCAATGTCCATGTTGGTTACTAGACTTACCACACGAGGATTTGCCTGCTGCTAGTAAGGGGAACATGAGACCAGTGAGCTTCAATTGTATCCAGTGAGCACTTACTCAACCCGCATGTCAGCGTACCTCGGTCTGCATTCAGAACCTCGGGTTTCGCCAGTTGCTTGGTGTCAATGCGCCAACAGCGTCGTCGTGGGCGTCTGCCAAAACGCATCCGCAGGTCAGCACATGGTCGGCGCCCACACATGTGCTCCAAATCGAGCCACAGTTCTGGACGCAGCACCTCCAGCGGTAACTGATTGCAATGTGATCGAGTTGCATCCAAGGCTGGTGGGCGCACAGTCCCTCTCCGGTGGGTGCTGTGTCGGAAGTTAGTACTCGCGAAAAATAAGCGAGCGTCATCACACAAATTAAGTAACCGCTCACCGCTATCTTTACAAGAGCTTACACCATGTTAGCCACCCCAGATGCAGTTCATCAGTGGATAATTTGCCAACTTGAGCCTTCAGGTCCTTCGCCCGCACAACAGTGTCCATGCTTCTAATGGGGCAAAGGAGCTCGATCAGTTGGCGATAGAAGTCATTTTTTATCAAGTCATCCCCAGAGTTTGCGGGCGCGTAGGTAGCGATGACGAATGGACATCTGTTAGTCCCGCGCGATTTCGAAACTTTGAACGAGTCAGCCAATCGAACTGCACACATCCAGTCATTGAGTAGGATCCAACATGGGGGCGAATTACAAGTGCTTCGCGCCGTGTTGCACATCGATTTATACCATTGGTGTCTGGGATTTAGAAATTTAATATTTTCGATTGCATCCGTGAGCCTGATTAATTACTACTGCATGTGTGAATTAACACCACATGAAGTCAGATTCGGGAGAGTCCGAAAACCTGCCGGGTATATATTTTGATTAGCTAAACGGTAAAAATTAGAACGAAGTTAAACAGTAGATATTTGAGATGCCGTCCACCAGTGCTGAAAGAAAAGTTAGAGTAGTTTTCGGACATAATAATATGAGGTTAGCTTACCAATAAGTTAAACCAAAGTAGTCTCCAGGAAATGATAGTTGGGTCTCGGAGTATCCAGCGTGTCTTGGACTTAGACATGCAATCTCAATAGTGACCATGGTTGACTTAAACTCAGCCTCTTTCTTGGTGAATTAGTTACTCTTCAATGTTTTTAATTTCAGGACGAAATACTTTCGTGGACGGAGAATTCTTGGAGATTGGGACGTTCGTGTAGAACAGGTATGTAATGGTTATAATCAGAAAACTTTGATCGTTTGTCCACTGGGTAACACACAAATGAATTGCATCGTGCCGTAACACATTTATATCGTTTGTTTTCATACGGAAAAGTTAGCTTAACAAGTTTGTTCATTGACATCAACTATATACTTAGCTTCCTAATATTTTCCTTGAGTCCGTCTGCTATGCTCAAAATGCCATCGATTTAATCTTGTCTACGAACTCTGTAACATTTTAACCCCAAAAATGCGAAACCTGAGGGCATAAACTGAGATTTGAAATGCCGACAGAAGGTATGCGATTTGAAAGGCTACACCGGTTTCAATGCCTTCGCATAATAGTATGTCCTTGAAATATGATGGTGACATTCTTAAGCAAGACGAATCAGTTGATAATTGTGAGCGTAAAATAGTACGAACAGATTCATTTAAAAACATTTTCACGGAACCATTTTCTTGTGTTTTTAGATGGGGAAAGTTATAAAAATTTGAAACAAGTTAGTATCGTAGGTTACAGAACGGCGAAGTAATAGGTGGGAGAAACATCTAGTTGGGGTTTGATAGGACATACTATTGTGAAAGAAGCTAATATTTAGGAGAAAATGTGTCTTAAGTACCATAGTGCATCAATATGAAATTTGTGTATTAGCAAAACAGGCCAGAACTATGCTTTGTGAAGAAGAGTCGTGTGAATGGTCTATCAGGTAAGGTAACTGGATAGTCTCAATGGTAAATACATCATGATTACTAGAGACAGTTGTCGCTATGTAATCTGTTGGGGACAAGGTAATGGCGATACTTTTATTTGCTACTAAATAGAAGGATTTTAATTTTTTAATTTTTTAATTGCTTGCGTCACAGTAGCTCACAAGCTACACAGCACAGCCTAGTCCAGAAAACACCAGACGCGTTTCGTCTTATCGGGGCTGGTCAGTGTTGCGCATACCATCGGTCCCCTTTTATTTGTCAGGAAGTCACAGTTTTGTACATTGATTTAGGTTAGGGCAAATAAACCTTATAAGACCACTCAGCATCTCGACGATAAGGGGGTTAGAGAAAGGCAATTGGGCTCAGTCAATTGATGCGTGAGCGTATTTTTTTCCTGTTATACTGTAATAAATCTATAGTAGTTGAAAGAACAAGCGTGCACTCATCGGGAAGTCACACAAACACATAAGCGGACAATTTAAAATAGTTGACATAACATGAGAACTACGACAGTTGTAGCAATTGCGCCTTTTGAAAGTAACTATGCCTAGACACTTTCATCGACGGCATTTCTATTTACATTTTAAAAGCTAAGAAATTTATTTAAAATCCATTGTTTTATCTCTAGCCTCAGCTCAACTCCGCGTTACTCGTCCTACCTGATGCTCAAAGTTTTTCATTCAGGGAAGGATATCCTTCTAAGCACAGCAGTTATCTTGCAAGTTCCTTATAACAGGTTAAATAAATCAATATTTTTGTCGAGGATGTGAGACACACATATATCGGCATGAGCAGGTGTTTGTATGTTTTTGTAAAACGATAACAGATGGATCACGAAACTTAAAAATGAGATCAGATAGTAGGGTTTGGCAGGGCGGTAATTAGATAAGAAATGGCTGACTTAAATGATGTGATGTTGGCTGTCGCCCAAGCATTCCCTCACACAAGTCCTAACAAGACAGATAACACAGGGTTTTGAAGCCCATCATACCCATAGAAGACAACTAATAGCTGAGTGCAATACACGTTTAAAACTTTTTGTGCATCTAATTACTACAGGCGGAATTCTCCCAGATAGGCATGACGGCCTACGGGGATCTCGGGTGCGTTATCAATACGTATCAGGGAACGGATCGAGGGAAACCTTACAGGTGAGTAAAAACACACTCTTCTGTGTTAATAAGCTAGTTAACAAATGGCATCCTAAAGCGGTTGTCACATACTAAAAACTAGCTTGAATTAGCTTAAAAACAGATACAGCTGAAATGTCCTCAACGGGAGGTAAAAATCGTGTTTGGACCCAGCTGAATTTTCGTATGAACACAAGTGTACCTATAAATATGCCGCAGATATTTGCTAGGAACTATTATTACAGAATGGGCTGAAACCGATATAAAACTACAGATACTACAACACCCTTCAAAGAGCCACTCTTAGCACCGCCTTTAGCACGTGTGTTCACGTACTTCGCTCGTCACTACGGACAGTCTTTGCTCAGCTCGGATGCAAATATTTCCTCTGCACCCAAACCGAAATTCGTGTGTTGTATCATATATGCAGGTGGTCATTTACTGGACCACGACATGACAGACCTTACTTGGAACTGATTTGCAGTGCTACGAAAATGTGCGGGGGCTACAAATGCAATCTGACTTGCATACAAAACTTTCCCTTCATATGCATCAACATTGCAAGAAAGAGCCATATTTCGACAGAATGATCTGAATTCAGTTCTCTCGCCTATTCACCTCTGCCGTTTACATACGATTTGTGGAATGACTAGTCTGTGCACAGAGCCAGTCCGGCAGTAACGCCATTGGTGAAACAATAGCGATCAAAGTTCATCTGACACTGGCAGACATTCTGCTTAGAGAAATGTAGTCACAAGCCTCAGCAAGGTATGATGAGACAGGTTACGAAACATGTGGTTCGCTTTTGGATTAGCAACTGCTGAAAGGTCGTCAGCTCAAGGCTAAAAACTGGGCATCGAAAATGTGCGGACTGCAGCAAGACTAGTGCAGCATTCAAATACGAACACGCGAAAACCCCATTTGCGATGCTTACGGTTTTCAATTTTCAACCGTTTCTGAAGCTACTTTTGAGCACTATAGTACAGTGCCAGTGCTGCGTTTAAAGTGTGCGTCAACATCATGTTCTGCATTCGAAGAAACCACAGTGATGTTGAAAGAAAAATGTTCTTACACTAATGCAGAATATTTACTGATCAATGCGATGCTTTTTGATCCTAATGGATACTCATAGTAATCATAAAACACACATTGTAAGACTTGCATGCAATTTGAGCGCTGTAGTGCCAAAATGTGCTTGCGTGTCTAGTTATGCCATCTATTTATGAACGATGAAGTAAAACCAGTCATTCACATAAGCTCTATTATTACTGAAACTGCAATATGTAACTACAGGATGGTCGGACTGCAAAATATCACAACTGCCATGCGGAGTGCAATAGGTTAGACACACAGACTTGTTTCGGTAGATAAATTCGGTCAGGCAGTGGTTAATTAACGTCAGCCCACTGCGAGTCGTTACAGAGATGGTTTTCTAAAGCCAATCCAACACATGATGTTTTGTCTAATAACAGTTGACTAATCGCTTGAAATTCTGAGGAGCAAGAGACGCAGACATACATTTTCTGACTAACAGCTTCAACTAGTGAGTAAAGGTTGCATTCGATGGTCTGATCCGTCCACTCTTCGGTTTCTTCGCAGCAGCCTGAAACCGAACTGACAGCTGACCCGAGGGTTTACAATAAAATTATGTTTGTGGTTATCAAATCAAAAGGGATCACGACTGCCCTACTAACTCGGCACAAATTCAACTATAAACCCACCGAGAACTCATCTCCACACTCTTCCAACCATCTTGAGTTCCCCTCAGTAAGTGGGAAATGAAGGCCTGCACAATATTCAGATATTATAAAACCATTTCATCAGAACAATACTTTAGTTTCTATCATGCTCGGTTAAAATTCCTTATCGATAAGTGACAAGATAATGGTAATCTTTTGCCTGCTATATATGGGCCTGCTAGATAGTGCAATACTCGTGTCCCAAAGCTAAAAACCAAATCGCTTGTATTTGGGTTCGGGTAAACAAAAGTAATGGTCAGCGAAGAAAAAACAATTGGAAATATGAAAGTGCTCAGATAAAAGTCAACTTGTCCACGTTGCATCCGATGGGATTCAGCAAACACTCAAGCGTTAATTTTGGAATGAATACCTAACTAGTATTGAAGCAATTTTTTGCATTTCTTTGTTACCTTTGCGTACAATTATGGAAGGCAACCCTCATAAACAATGACTTCAGATAAGAGTGGGTCTTGTTTAAACTCGGACTATTCCAGATCATTCAAACCGGACTTCGTGCTTATTCGACAGCACGTTCGTGAGACCAACGAGGACTGGCAACCAATTTTAACGGGGCTGATGTACGCGGGTACTCCCTGTTTGAATACGCTACATGCCGTTTACAACATGAAGAACAGACCATGGATGGTACGTCAAAGTCTTTAAAACTCGGACATTGTAATATGATGTTGAACACTGATGAACACACTTTTTCCGAATAAGATAAGCACTTTACTATGTTTGTTCACATCCAAATATGTGCCCTGTTACTACGGAAGCTGTAACAGTTGTCACCTAACCACAAGCTAGCGATAGGGTACAGGAGAGAAAGCCTGCAGCTATAACTCAGTGGGACAGCCACCTGATACGAGAGCGAACACATTTGCGTCCGGCTTGTTTTGCTTAGGAACGTAAACGTTGCGATGGAGCAAAAACTGCTTGACGGCGAATGCATCAGGTACCCACTGTATCGACTAGGTAAACTTTATAGACCACTTTGGTTTTCCTATGTAAATCAATAGACATGTCTAGCAGTGCCCAATTATACGTTATCAATATGGCATAAATGTTTTGTACCGGACTGGCCGCATCGACTCAGCAAGCCCTGGTAATATGTTTCCACGAGTCGTTTTTTCGTAACGACGCCCTGGGCATTTAGAGCCAACTAGTTGGGATAACCAGCAGTTTTACTAGAGTCAGAAAGCGTAAAACTACAACCAGTTCTGAGCTTCTGGAATGTTGCAATGTGGCGAGGGCAAGTTAAATCACAGAGAACTGATTACAGGTTAGACTGCTACTACACAGTTGCATAGTGTTGGATGTCATGCGTCTAGGAGATTCTCTCCACCTCTAAAACTTTTCCATAAACTACACCGTGTACGTCGGGTTCATCACAGTGATGTGTGAGACACGAATTCCTCAAGAAGATACCGGAATTTGAAGCACAGCAGACAAAATAAGCTCAACCTCGGAAGATGAAAGAGGGAAACAATCGAGTTGGCAGATTGCCACATAAGACTTATTCGACTCATCTCAGTCAGACTACGATATTTACCGCTTTCGGTTAAACGGCGCGTGCTAACCAACAACAGTCACCAGTGGAGTTAAAGGAAATCCTTATAAAAAGGTCGGCCACAGTATCCCGTCAGTTTACAACCCAATCTTGTACACATTTAAGATAGCGGCTGCCTTATTGCGAAATTCAGAAAAACATTCTTTAGCATGATTCGTAGTATGATGAGACTGGCAGAAAAGACTTACTAAGAAGGAGGATTTACTCTGGAGCTTTGGCCCATATAAGTTAGTGGCAGCGGACCCAAATATCAGTCCAGTGGAACGGAATCATGCAGGGACACACTTTTATTTTGCGCATACTGGTGTCCTCTATATAGTAATACCGATGAACCGTGGTTGTTGGGGAAGTGGGAATGGCGGTGCTTGTCGCAGATGTGGGAAGGATCAGACCGTGGGCGTGTTTTCTTTTGATAAAACGTCTTGAAGTGACGGTCCACATTTCTCTTTGGTCGTCTAAATTTCTGACAAAAGTAGTAGGTTCGCTTACGTGTACACATGGTACTAAAAGAAACTGCGTACATCTGCTGCTTGCCAAACTTTTTCTGTCCAAGTGATATTCTGACTGAGAAATTAACTATGTGGGCATGCTTCCATGTGTAGGACCACTGTGAGGAAATGGCTATCGATCATCTGACGCGGTCACCAACATCGTCAAGCCAAGGATAGACTATAGTCACGAACTTGGACTGGTCACACCAAGTGCGTCAGAGACACCGAATCGCTGAGACTACGGCAAACTGCAGTAGGCGAGCAGTGTTCAGTCTGTTGAGTATTCTCAATGAATCATGGGTGATTTGGCACTTTGGGCAGTCGTTGACATACAAAGCGATCGAACTGACGTATTTCCGTGTTCGCTGTATGTGTGTGCGCCAGTCTCCGAGAGTGAACATTTTCTAGTACGCATTTTTCCTTGTACGCAAATTTCGTGTACGCTTTTTCTGTGTACTGCATTTCGTGTACGGATTTTTCCGGTCACTATGGGACAGATGATTTTACCTATTAAGAAATTAGGTCCGGATTCAGAAACCACCAACTAACTCGCCTGAAAGGTTACACCTTTGTCACTGATTGTCGGCTTTGGATGGTTGTCAGGTGATAACAAACTGATAGGTGCCCGGTTAGCGTGCACTGCCTATGAGGTCACAGTGATTAATCAGTTAAATCTACCGTTTGTCGATAAATACTTCCTTTTATTACATCAATGTCGATGAGCACATGGATGTGACGCGCATACAATTTCCGTTCCAGTCATGTTGAAAACACAAAGGGATAAGCGAGCAAACAGGAGAGAAAATGTATACCAGGAAGAGATCCAAAAAATAATCTTAATCTTACAGATTCTATAGTTTTGAAAGCAAATGTTCGAGCACAACAGTGCATCTGCGTTGGAAACAAACTCCAATTGCGTTACACTAGAAGTTGCAGTCTACTCTCTAACCCAACGATTTAACCAGGAAATAGTCATACCACCGGATAGTCGACTTTACTACCCATCATTTGAGCCAAATATCGATCCTTGCTTACAATCGAGGCCGGTGTTTTAAGGGTTTAGCACCACATGGATGCCCTATTTCATCCTGATACAGAACTGAATGCCACTCTAAATATTAAGAGCAAAGTAGAACTGGCCTTTGGATACTAAGCCTTTATAGACATCAATTCACATGAAGATACTGGATAACTATACCATTATACACGCATGTTAGCGGATTGTACCAAGCGTTTAGCGTGGCACATTTTTGAAATCGCGTGCAGTGCTTTCAAGTTAGCGGGGCTAAGAACACTGTTTTGGCGTCGTTGAGCCTCTCATTGCTCATGGGACGTTAGCTAATTGGACACCGGTTGGAAGCCGCAAGCATAAGCGACAGACAGTCCAATGAAAGTGGTCGAGCAAAAATTTCGGTTCTATTTTGATGCCTATCTGCAGGAAACCTGGATGATTGGTCTCCAAACGGAAACCGTCCAATAGGCAAATTGTGATGCCTGTCTAAGGAGGAGATCCTAGTTACCACATGATCCGAAGCTTAAGACGTAACCAGTGCGGACAGACATACTAACCAGTGATCACTAGCGGCTACCTGGTGGTGGTTTATTCAACGGCCTAACCATGGTGGCGTAGACAGGCAATCTTCTAACTGGTATTCGGCAGTTCAGCAATGACTGCTAGGCGGTTATACAATTTTGTGCGATTGTTATTGCGATGATCATGGGGGATACTGTTCCATTGAAGTTGGAAGACCAACCTGAAGCTGAACAAAGAAAGTTGTTGGGCGGATTCTGGGATACTAGTCGATAAGCAATGACACGTAAGACGTGTCAAATTCGAGACAGTATAGAAGTCGGAGGCAACTGAACCCAAGGTATATTGTACAGGCTACAAAATAGGAAGCGAATCTACAAGAGCGAGAAACGTGCAGCAAGGTACGCAAAAAACGGTTTGTGTCAACGGATATGCAGTCAGTAAAACAAACGGACGTTTTGAAGGGTAAAGCAACCGTGAAATCCAATGTTGCAAAATACTGAAAGAGCGTTTTCCGGTACACTACAAGGGCCTTCCCCTGGAAGGCTGAAGGATGGAATTCTTGGATGGAGCTGTTAGTGGAGGGAAACGGAAGGTGATGATGTGTGCGAATAGTTGCCTGGGCTTGAGTAAGGGCTTCCAAAATGGGGTGTGTAGCAGAGTTCGCTGGGTCAAGGCTTTTGTTAGTTATTATTTATGACGATCGTGTGGACCAGACTGCATCATCGGTGGGCCGTCGGGGCTGGTTTGTCGGACTGCAGAAAAGCTGGCTAGTTCAGAAAAAGGCTGTCAGAATCTTCCCTTTTCTGCAGACCTGACGGTGCGCTTGGGAGGTTTCACTCCCCCACCGCACTCCAGTCCACAGTCCCCGTCCCACGAAGAAATCCAGGCGTCCTCGTCTCACGAAGAAATCCGGCGTCCACATCGGCAACGCCTTGCTAGGCCTTTAGGGATCAACCATTCGTAGCTGTCTGCGGCCGACGGTGACTGACTTCTTCGGGGCAGGAAGGGGCCTTGGATTGGTTAGCGAGTCAATCGGGGTTGCGTTGAGCGGGTTGGCGAATCACTCGAGGGTGGCCTTGGCAGTTCTGCGGTTGAGTTTATGGAAGACAGAACTCAGTGGTGGTGGGCAAGGATACGTGGAAGTGGCTCGATGCCGGAGAGAGAACATGGCATGCATGATAAAAACAAATAGTCTCTTTAGGTTTTCAAAACGTTTTGGGATTTTTTTGTCGATTTTGCAAAACGTTTGTGAAGAAGACGCACGACAATCACTAAAGGCGAAAAGGCGCGTTAATGGAAATAGCAAACGTTTACAAAGTCTGAAAAACGGGCAGGACGTTTGACCTGTCTATCCCGTCGGTCGGTTGCCTGAGGATGAAGCGGGATAGGTTAAGGGACAAGGGGTACGGAGGGTTTCGGTCTATGCAGTGCTCGGGAAGTCACCGCAGGTGCGGGTGCTTGTGCGAAAGTATCAGGAAGGGGTGCAAGTAGCTCGTCAAAGAAAGCCACTTTGAGGCGGTCGATGGACACCGTTGTTCAGTGACCATTCTGGTCTAAAGTAAACTGTTTCGGAGTCCGTTGCAGAACTCTGAAAGGGCCAGTGTAGAGAGGCTGGAGAGGGCACCGCACTGCGTCAGTGCGGAGAAAGACGTGAGTGCAGGTAGAGAGTCCGCTGTGCATTTGCACGTCTCTATTCAGTTCACGGGGCGAAGTCGGCGGAGTGAATGTATGCGTTGAGCTAGGGAAGACGCAAAGTTAGGCGGAGGCTTACCCGACGGTGCGGGAGGTGAAACGAATTCTCCTGGAAACTTTAGCGTTGTGCCGTAAACCAGCTCTGCTGGTGCCCATTGCAAGTCAGTTTTGATGCTGCTGCGAATGCCTAAGAGTACGAGCGAAAGGTTTTCGTTCCAGCTAGGGTCGGAGGAAACGAGGAGCAAGGCTTTAAGCTGTCTATGGAAGCGTTCAACTAACCCGTTGGCTGCTGGGGGATACGCTGCGGTATGAATTCGGCGACAGCCTAAAAGGTTGCAGAACGTATTGAATTGTGAAG